GTGGTGGGATGCTTCTTTTTCTTTTTGGCTCTGATTTAGTGCTTTAGGGAGTGCCTTCAGAGTGGTGGGTTTTTGTACAGCTCTCCCTTTAACGAAAAGGTTACCTTTTCAGACAAGTATCAAAAGCACTACAAGGTGAAATAGATCCTTTCCTGTAGCTCTGGTTGTTTAGAACAGAACAGTTCAGGTGAAAGTGGGCCGTTTAACCGGGTTAATCACAGACAGCCGATCACTGCATGATAGTCGTAAAAAGCATCATTCTAAAGGGGCTTTCTCAATAACCAGCAGGATTAAATTTGAGACAAAATATTACTGAACGATTCACAACTGACATGTTTTCATATGTTTGCTACTGCTTCCAGTCACTGGAATTGTAAAACAGGAATAGTTTTCTTGAGAAGCAAAATGGAGTTTTTACGTAAAATAAAGAGTTGTACGATTTATGTCTTGACTTTTTGTTTTCCACGTGACCCTACGTTTTTCCCACAAATCCTGCTGTGAGTTGCATCTAGGTCATCCTTTGTTGCACACTCACGGGCGCAGTCTGTAAGGTTATATTTTTAAAGAACTTGCCTATTAGAACATTTTAAAAAAAAAACAGGGTTAATACAAAGCATTAACCCCTTAACAGTTTCTCATATTTGATACATGTTTGGAATCTTTACATTATTATTAGACAGCAATTAGCATTATTAAGCAATAAATAGCAAAAAATGGTTGACAGCAAATACACACAACTCACATGGTCAAAAGATCAAATTTTAAAAAATAATTCATGATAAAAGAATATACACCCACTGCTCACCTGATTAGGTAGATCTCAAATATATAGATCCTCTGGGCTGTTTCAGAAACCGCTGATCTAAAGTCAGATTCTGTCAGCTTGATAGGTTTGAGACAATATGACTTTTTTTGGTAATTAGGACATTTCAGTTTATCTTGCAATTAAAATGACTACTACAGCAGCATAAAGAATAAAACAAAGGATGATCTACAATTTAAACATTCCTGGAAAATCATCTTTTGTTTTTTAGAACTGAGCAAGTCTCTTGAATGAGAGATGAAACATCTTTGCAAATTTACACAAGTCCAGTTTCCTTCTTTTTCAAGCTCTTAGGTCCAAAACAGCCCGAGACGTCACACTTCTGCCTCCATGTTTAATAGTTGATGCCACACACAGTGGAAACATCCTTTCACCTACCCGACAGCGTACAAAGATCCTGAGTGATGAACTGAAGATTTCAAATTTTGATTCATTAGTCCCTAATACCTTCTTCCAGTCTTCAGTAGTCCGATAGTGGTGTTTCATGGCCCAGGCAAGCCTCTCTGCCTTATTCTGACCTATTAGCAATGGCTTTCTTACTCCAACTCTTCCTGTCAAACCTGCAGCCTGCACAGTAGTTCTTGAGGACTGGAGTTTGAGACCCCTGTCCTACAATATTGGCCACTCCAACAATCAGAGGATTCAGAAAGTTTATTCATGCAGGCCCATATGAGAGAGAATATGCATCTTCTTTTTGTTTTCATAATTTAATTTATATTTAATTGTGTTGTGGTTTGCAGTGTTTTGTGTTGTTTCACCTTAAATTTGTTTAAAAGGAAAAAGCTGAAAATTTAAATAGTTAAAAATTGAAATGTGAATAGTTGTTTTTTGTATTATATGATTTATTTATTACATTTTATGTGGAGTGAATAAATAAAAGTATATTTACGGTGGCCCTTAGAGACAAAGCACATACAAACTCCAAAACACGTAAAAACTCGATAGCACGTACAAACTCCGAAGCACGTACACACTCTAAAACACTTAAAAACTCCGAAGCACGTACAAACTCCAAAACACTACAAAAGACAACATAAGTGCTCCAGAATGCTAGGCGCAGTGTTGAGCTTTTGTTACCTAGAGGCTACACAAGCCAGGAAGTACCAACGAACGGATTTGGTGTGTGGTAATAACAGGTAAATGAACTTTTTTTTTTTTAATTATTTGAATATATATGAGTGCTTGTGTATAAATACACAAACAATACACATATGCTTTCAATTGTGTAATTTAAGTGATCTAGGTAGCTCTGGTTTGGAAGGTCAGTTAACGATAGAAATGTGTTTTGGAATTTGTACCTGCTTTTTGGAGTTTTTACGTGTATGTGCTTTGTCTCTAGGGGCCACCGCAAATATTTATATATAAACATATATAAATAAAACCACTTTTTTACATTAGTAATTCCTTTTGTGCATAATTTTATATTATTGTTAATAATAAATTAATTAAAGCAACAAAACAACCTGAAGAGCCGGTTGGGAGCCGAAAGAGCCGACTCTTTTTAGTGAGCCGAGCCGAGGTAATCCCATCACTAGTACCTAATCAAATGAGTGTAATATGCAAATACACATACATGCACGTGAAAGACATCTTTATCAAGCTGAACACCTGACAGTTCCTCCCCAGTTTATTGTTAATCTATCAAAACCTCCAACAAACTTGGGGATTCCTAATTCAAAATTTCAATTAATTTATTTAAAGTTCGACTTAAAAACTACAATTTTAGGTTATCTTATTATTTTTTTAAAACAATGCGATAGTACGTCGGCTTTTTTTTTTCACACATGGGTGGCAAAAAAAAGACTCTTTTCAGTGGCGGAAACGAGCTTCTTTAATCTAGCGTTCAGCCTTCGATGCAATGGAGTGCTCCATCTTTCTGCACATATCATCTTTGGTCAGCTCCCCGCCCCTGACGTTTCCCTCGGCCGTTGGACGGGCGGCTCGCACGCTGGGCTGTGCCTGCCTCCCCGTGTGTGAGTCGAACGTAATACGTCCCACGAAGAAGAAGCTCTCCGGTCAGCTGACGTCGTAAAAGCGAAATCGTTGTAGTAGGATTAAATTAAACATGTCGATTGTGTTTGTACCAAAGAAACTCAGAGGAAAAGCTACAGTCAACCAAGAGACGATACAGAGGGTAAGACACCAAGAACGTATATTTTAGAAGCTTTTACGTTGATTTTATGAATCGATCGTTCTTGGATTAGCAATTAGCTTGCTAACAGGTTTATACGTTCACCCTTATTTGGGGGGGAAATTGGTAACCTTATCGCATTTGGCTGTTGACTTTTTACACGGACTTGTCCCGGTGACGGGTTTAGATAAAAATGTTAAAAGTGGTTGTGGTAGGGCCTTATCTTAACATGGTTCAATACTCCGTGAAAAGCTTTGTTATTTTTTGCTGTAAGTGGCTTTACGCTCTCTAAATTTCTCTCTGGTCCTACCGGATTCTCTTTGTTCCAGTTACTGGATGAAAACGATCAGCTGATCAGATGCATTACAGAGTACATGCAGAAAGGACGCGCGGTGGAGTGTGTGCAGTAAGTTACACAAACCTCTCCTCCACTAATGCTGTTGATTGACTTCATAGTGGTGTTATTTATTTTTTCCATTTTCCAACAGATACCAACAGATTCTGCATCGCAACATTGTCTATCTGGCAACCATAGCTGATGCAAGTCCCGACAGTGCAGCCTCCACATCAAATGTAAACACAGCCCAGACACAGAAGCAGCAGTAATAATGAGGATGGAGGTGGCTTGTTTCTAATGCTCTATTATTGTCTTCGTTTCTAGTGCACATCTAATGACACATCAGCTTCAGCAGCAGCTGTGAATGGGCACACAGAGGGCAGCTGATTGCAGTTTCTGTGACAGCTGCATTCTTCCTCAGAAGCATGTGATTGTGGTCATTCAACAGCATAATTGCACAGAAACTGCCAAGGTGGAGTTCACAAAACTTGGAGATATGGACAATGGAAGCAGAGGATCCACCTCCTGTTATTTGTCAGGAAAAAGGTCTCTAGCCTTGGCAGAAAATGCCCTCTCAAAGCACCCTGCCAGTCGAGAATGATCTTACAACAAAAAAACTGTTCAGTATGAACTGTTTTCAGTGACGTAAACCATTTCAGGGTCGAGCTGGATATCTGCGGACAAAATTGGAAACAAAATAAAATTTTATTTGCACTAGTCATGAGTGCTTTTTGTCTCTTCAGATTTTATATTGTATTGATGCACACTAATCCCCTGCTACGCCTGAATTATTCTGCAGAATCTGTACAACCTATAGTCAACCCAACACCTTCCTCAGCATTCATATCTGTGAAAGATGTGTTAACAGCACTAGGTACTAAAATTTATAAGGAATGGGCACATCATGCGTAGGGTTTCACAAGGGCTTGCAGTTATAGTAAACCTGAGGTGTAGAGTTCACATCCACTTAAATGCTTTCAGCAGGAGCATCTTTTATCACTCTGGTTTAGAACACCCCTGCTGTTTTTCTTTCCTCTCTGAGGCCTTGAGCTACAACTTGAAAGCTACCACACCTACATATATCCAAGTTACATTATACAGAAACTAACAACACAGGCTACAGTATACCCCCACAAAGTTGCAGTTTTGTATCAGAGGAAATCTTTGAGATGGTGAGAGACCATTCAGAGGCAGAAAGTAGCCAATCCGAGAGCGTTATTCAGCTCTCCTTAATGCATCTCTGGCAGATGGTCCAGCATCACTGCGTGTAGCTATCTGTATGTTGTTTGTTTTGTTCTTAAAGCGCTAAGACGCCACACAAAAGCATATTTAGGGTTTAAACTAACCTTAAATTAAAAGAAAGAGGCTTTTTTGAACCACATCCAGAATTTGCAGTTTTTCAAAGGAATGTAACCCCTGCAAATTTTGAGGGTCAACTGTGTCTCGATTAAGAAAGCTTCCTTGTCTTGTTTTGTGTCTTGGACATGCTGGAGAGATACATTTTGCCTGGCTTAGGAATGGCTGTGTGTTCTCCCCATTTGGCGCTGGAGCACGCAGCTGTGAAGGAGGTCTGTTTAGACTGCTGTCCCTGTAATCCAGGCCCAGATGAAAAGCAGACGATAGGTGAAGTAAGTGGGAGGAAAAAATGAAAACCAGCAAGAGACTTATGTTTAAAAAAACAAAACAAAATTTAAAAAAAAACAACAGCATTTTGAATTGCTAGTTATTTTTATTTATTTTTTGCATTGCTGGTACACTTGGAAAGATTCAGTTGCCAGCTCAAGAGAACAATAAGCAACATAAGCCAAGCAGCCCCCCTTCATATCTTCTATCAGGGCAACATGTTTTTATTATTATTTTTCTCTTTTTTTGTGTTTTTTTTTTTAGAAGCCACTAGTAAACCATTTGACACAGCTGAGAAGCTAACAGTTACAGTCCAAGGTCTGCACTGATGTCTTAAAAAAGGCTGCAACAGTTAGGGAGATAACACAGACAAAAAGCAACAAACCCTATATCTTGATTGTGCAAAGCACATTAACTATAAAAAGATATATATTTATATGTATATACAGCAAACAATTCTCTGTAAACATGTTAAGTATGTTAGTTTTCTGAAAACATGGTGTCATTTCATAAATACAGGCAACATTGGCATCCGCAAACATCACAAAAAGATAACATTCTGGGCTTTTAAATACAGCCCACTGCCATAGGAACGGAGGAAACAAGGGCTTGAAAAAACAAAACAACAACAACAAAAAACCCACCCTCGTTACACAATGTTTTAGTGTTTAGCATGGCATATTTGGTAACCTTTATCGATCGATGCTGTAGTTAAACTCTGTAGGAAAAACATGTGCTTTTTTCACATATTGGGAGGTGGAAAATAATGTTTTATGTAATATGTCTGCAGGAATACTAACATACAGTATGGTATAACATGTAAGAAAATACAAAAATAAGATTAATACTGTCAATAATTGTACACAAAAAATATTGTGTTATTAAACAAAGAAGAAACGTTAGGTTTATGGGAGTTAGTGTCAATCTGGAGCCAACAACTGCCAATTAGAGAAGAGGAAATGAAGATGTTCCCTAATGCTCACATCCAATAGGGTGTTTAACTTCATGTTGATCAATAATCTCAGACTGCCACTCATCTCTTCAGCACCATTCGTCTTCCGAACAACGCTTTGGTTGGAAATAATATTCTGCAAGTGCTATCGATACCAACATGGCACATAGTTACTGCTATAACTCTTAACTCTGGTCAGTTGTTGAAAAAGTAGTGTATTTCTCTCAAATTACACCTCTGCAGTGACTTACTATATTTATGCTGAGCCTGCTCAAAGCCTCTTAATAAAAAGTACTAAATATTTATATTTCAACTTCACTATTTTACAAGCTATGAAACAGTAGATGGTAGCTGTATTCTGGGTCATCTTGCATGAGATTTGGCAGTTACAGCTATGTAGACACAGTATATTTATTACGGGCAAAATGAGAGCATTTTAAGCCCCTGCCCCCTTGTAATACCCTCCTCTACACACACACACACACACACACACACACTCACACTTTTAGCTGCAGAAGCAAGTGGGTGACGGCTGTGCACGTCTCCAGCTCTTGTCTGAGGAAATTTCTGCTCGACAGACAGAGAAACGACCACCTGACTAACTGCTGCCAGCACGACATGCGCACCTTTCATGGTTAAAACATGGCAGTTTGAAAAACTTCAAAATACATCTTTTTCTGATGGGGATGTTTGACATGGAAAAATATAGATACAAAAAAATGTCGAGCCAGTGTGTATACTTTACGTTGCCTGTGAGGCTTTTGAAATTTTCCAATTCGCTGGGGGTGTGGAGTGTAATGGCTGTAGCTCGGCCCACTCAGTGGCTCATGTAACAGAGCTACGGGTCCTCTGTGGCACTTCACCGTGGACTCGTTAGACATTAGATCGGGATCAGTACTGGTGAAGGTAGGAGGGTCTGTGCTCATGCTTGACGGGGAAGGATTTAAAGCCCTTGGTCATGGGTTTATGTTGCTGCTGTTGCTGCTGCTGCTGCTGCTGGGTGAACGGAAAACCAGAGGAGATGCCGGTGGAGGGGGGGCAGTCGCTGGCAGTAGACCACACGGGAGACTGGAGCATTGGCATGGAGTCGCCCCACTGGGAAGAAGGAGGGATGTTCATCTGGTACAAGGAAGAGCTGGGATTGGGCATGGTGTTGGTGTGGGTGGAGTGTTGCCACGGTGCTTTGGGAGGCCAAGTTTTAGTTTTGCTGTCCTGTGGAGGAGGCCGGAAAATGACGAGTCAACATGCAATCAAAAATAGTAGAAATGGTTAAAGGCCCACCAGGGGGCAGCATTTCACCAGTGCTCCTGCTCTTTTAATTTACAGCCCTGCCCCAATCTCCTCAAGAGGTTTTGGCTTTTCCTAGACTGTAATTTTTCTCTCAACAGCCATCTTTTAATATATGTGTGTAAAACACAGATGTAGCTTCTGGGTTTGAGAATGAAGAGGAATTGAACGTGACTTAATCTGACATTTGTGACTTCAGTAAGTATTTTCCTGGTGACTTTATAATCTCAATCACTACTTTCAGATCATATTAAACAGAATATTAGGCTCATTTTGTAAATCCAGGTAATTTCAAGAGTCAGAAAGGAGGATTTCATGGGAATGTTCACAGCAATCTATTATGCACTTCTGGAGCCAATTCCTACCCTTGCTTGAAAACGCTTCACAATGGGACTTCCCTAACCAATCCATGACGTCACGGTGGCTACATCCACTGTGTGCTACCATTAATGACCTGCCTGGTTATACGGATGTTACACCGACTCATTGCAGAATCCTGTGGTGCAAACAAGTATTGCATAAAAGTATGATCTGGGCGTAGTTCAGCTGATACCTAGACATTTAGGACAAAGTCATAGCAGCTGTTTGTTCACATTCATTTGACACATTTATTATTTTGGGGGAGTTCCTAAACCATTCTTAAACACAGGAATCTATAATTAGTCCAGCGTAAAATAAAATGAAGTGTTACATTTCACTGGCACAGAGGGGTTCAAACTTTACCTGGCTATCGTCGCCAATGTGATGGAGAGGTGGTGAAGGCAGAGTGCACACCTCAGGCTCACCACAACTGTGTTTCCTGAGGACAGAGAAATCTACATTGAACATACTCACAAAGAGTATCTGATGAATGTTAAACTTCATCAGATATTTTTACTGAGATAAACACAATGATCTACGGAGCCCTGCAAGGGACATGGGAGAAAAACAAATTAAGATGAACTTTTGCGAACAAAAGTTTTGCGAGATCTCGCAAAATAGACTGCATACTTCGCAGGTCACATTTGAAGGCCGAGTCTGTGTATCCTTCGTAACCCAACCTATCCCAGAATTCATAGCGCGGCCCAGCCAATTCGTTTCCAACAATGGCGACAGCTACTTAGTTTTAATATTACTCTTTGAGGGTCACAAATTAAACTTAAGATATTTTGAGGCGTGAATGTAGCTGTGTAAACGTCAAATATCTGCTCGGTTTATCATGACATCACATATTTGCAAAAGTGCTCCGACGTTTTAGGAGACGTCTGTTACCCACCATCTCGAAGCTAACGGGAGGTCGAGGCTCACTACAGTCGGGGGGAACACCGCACTCCCGGCACATTATGACATCATGACCCAGCTTCGAGCTGGCGGCCTCTGAAGAATGCGGCTAAACTTTTGCGAGATCTCGCAAAACTTCAGCTTTATTTTTTTTCTCCCATGTCCCTTGCGGGGCTCCGTAATGACCAAACCAGGAAGACAGAACAAGATAAACAATACAAGTGGATGACTTTCAGACTTACCGCCTTTGTTTAACTGCAGCTACCAGGTCTGGCCCAGAAAACATGGAGAACAGACTGTCACCATTGGCTGAAGATGTCTCGTCACTAGAGCTGGCCGAGTCCCCCTGATTGGCTGACCAGCCGCTGTTTACAGCATCACTGTGGGCACAACCAGAGAAGGTGTTAGCAATTTCTCTATTAGTTACTAAAAATTGTGTATAACAAAACCAACAAAATTAGACCACTTAAACATATGAATTTAAAGCCCAGTATCTCTCGGCCTTTATTCAAAGCAAAAGCTGCGTAAAAGTGATACATTTTTGCATAGGGTTTAAAAGTGAGATTGCATAACTGCAATGATGGCTTGTTTACTTCTATCTGCTTGCATCTGTGAGCAGGATGGCGTGTCACATGTGGGTGGAATTAAACAAGAGCACCCAGGATAAACATGCTAAATGCCTCACTTATTGCTGATGTTGGACAAATTAAAAACATAATCAAAATATCACATGACACAGTTTGACAGTTTAAAACTATGCCAGTGCTTACGACGAGGAAAGCTTTCACATTTCAAAACAAATGTACCATATGTAAAACCCATCAGTATGCTGGTTCTCAAACTACTAAAAGTCAGACATCCCTGCATTGCAAACATACAAACAGGAAAGCACTGATCTGTACTTGTCACATTTGAGAATCAGCAGGATGCTGCATACTGCTGTCATTTACAGCTTTTGGCTTTAAAATGTGAAGTTGCTGATACATGCATGCTTTGCAATGGCCACAAGGGGGTGACCTTTGTTGGTTGCAAACAGACTTCCAGTCTCAAAAATCTATGGGGCAGCCCCCTGCCCTGACCTCTGTACACACTTTACTGTTGACTTCATAGGCTCTTGGCTCTGGAAGCATTTATTTATCTGTGGTTAAGAGTATATGATTTTGTCAAAGCTACATCAACAGAAGATAGAACAATACTGTACTGCATTTTACTTTATTTTGTATAGTGTATTTCTCTTTTATCCTAAATGACTTTCTGGATGCTGTTTACATAATTTAAATCAATTGGACAAAACAAACACTTTTAAAAGTCCTCAAAAACACCTTTGTGCTAGTTGCCTCACAGGAGCACTGCCATAATGACAGACACACACACAGAGACAGACTCTCAAAGTGAAAACAATGTCAGGAATGCAACCATGGCTGGCCAATCAAAGGAATGATATCAGCAGAAACAAATGTTTGAGCGAAAAGATGATAACAGCTCCTCAGGCAGATTTATCCAGAGCTTAGGTGTTCCAACAGCAGAACCATGATCTGCTAATCTTAAATTCAGAGACATAAACAGCAAGAAGGTTCTTATCTGCCTCAGGCTGTGCACACAGTGGCAGGGGAGAGCAGCTCTGAGATGCTATCTGAAACCTGGTCACAACAAACCTTAAAGCCAATCACTAAAAGCTTATAAATTTTTTTAATTGAATGTTTGATGTTAAGATCTTTACCTATAATAGTCCGAGTGTAACTGAATTTTAAGACCAAAACTGACATTTGTCGATTGACTGATTTTCTTTTGCTTTCTGACATACAAAAAATAAAGAAATGATCTTAACATTTGCTGCAGTTCTTATTACTGGTTTACATGCATGAATGACCTTAACTATGACAAACTATGCAAAGTAAATATTCATAACATGGTTTCTTTTCTTTAATTTTTCATTTATCGGCTTATGAATGCTGACGGAGATAGACTGGCAAACAGCTAATACTGACATATAATACTGATCGGTCAGATCCCAACAATAAACAAATGACATGCTTGTAATCAGAAAGCTCAACGGTATCAGTTTCTTTCCATTTATCATTTTTTTAAGAATACATTTATACATTTCTACAAAGGTTTGTTTAGGTTCAGTTTTAAATAGAAGCATGGAAGGAAAAGGATGAAAAACATGATGACTATGATGACTTTATTGATATTTTTTGAGTTAAAATGATAACAAAATATTGTAGAATTCACTTAGACATGCCCAAAGTTTTAAAATGTATTTTTTTAGTACTGTTGAACCAAAGACCAGCTGTTTTTGAAATAGTAATAGACACATATTATAAAATGTAATTTATTTGTAGAATTGGTGTTTTTTAACCAATAACATAAGAGCATTTTTAAAATCTCTGTCACATATACATGAAACAGCATAGGCTGAATAACTAAAACCATGCATCATAAAAAGGCCCTTACTCTGATTCTAGTTGAAATAGCTTGGTTGATTGAGGGTCATTATATATTCTTAAACATCCCTATGTGGGACACGTGCTAAAATGTCAACTTGTCTGGCAATGAATGAGTGGTAAAAGCAGATGTATGGGTACCAACCCCTCGTTGAAGTATTCTGGGTGGGACCAGGTCCTGTGCTGCTCATCAGGCATTGGCCAGTTGCTGCGCGTGTTGCTGGGGCGGCGAATGTGCTGTACCTGCCGTTTCTGCTGCATGGCCTGACTGACGCCGGCGACGTAACGTGCAAACTCCGGGTCCGAGCCAACTGCGCGTGGAAAGGGAGGATAAACACAACTATGAGTTTCTGACACCCTCAGCTTTTCTCTTTCGCTCCCTGGAGCTCAATCTATTCAGCCAGACTGTCTACCACAGCAGAAAAATCACAATAGCCTTAAGTCAACTCTGCACAACGGGCCTCGACGCAATCAAAAGAGTGTGCTGCACTGTAAAAAATATAACTGACACAAGCTAAATCACCAACTTACAGTTGTAGCCACAACTTCTCATCCTACCTGACCAATATTGATATCAGGTGTCTTATGTCACCCTTCAGGTTTTAAGAAAAATCTGCTCAATTTAATCAAATTAGAGTGTCTTTTATGCACTGTAGTAATATTTGTCTGGTAGTCGCATCTTTATTTTTGATATCAACTGATGTTTGAAAGCTAATTTTCTTTTATGACACAATTAAGATTTGAATTTAAATTAAAAACTTTTTACAGTCAGCTTGATACCCACTATCATCTTCTTAATGGTTTCAGCTTGATTGTACTGTAGGGAGACTCAGGCCACCCACACCCCTTTCCTGAACATTAGTCTCCAGCTATACCTTTCAAAGTGTTAGAGACACTACTAAGCTTCTCTGAGGTTTTAAAATAATGAAAGTCAGTGCCATCAATGCTGCAGGATTAGCTGAAACTTAACCTAACCCAGCGAAAGAAAACTAAATAAAAGGCTCTTTGGTTTGTTCCCTCATCTCATCACAATCAACATTATTTGTTTATTTAATAAGAACATAGTATGTTAATGGATATCACTACCAAAATGCATAATGCAAGTAACAAAAAATGGTGAATTTAGTCAACCTGATTTTTGTGCTCTCAACTTCTTCATATATTGGATGTGAGTGTCTGCCTTCTTTTTAACTTAAAGAGTTGAGCTGTTCTTATATAAATAAATGTTCACTCTGCTTCATATGGATGTAAACTCAGACATGAAACTGTAAGGTAAACATCACCTGCTGGGTCGAAGGGCAATGTGTCCCCCAGGACTCCAAACACTCCCTCACTCTGGTCCCGGTTGGGCCATGTATTGTTACGAGGACCTTGGGGTTTCTGACCCAGCATCTCTGACACGACACTGTCCATGTAGGTGCTGACCAAGCCCAGACTGTACAGGTCTGAGCTCAAGTCTGGCAGTCCAGATGATGCCCACTGCCCAATGGGACCTAGGGGTGATAGCCCTGCTGGGGGTCCTTGCGGCGGAGGCTGTTGCCCAGAAGTGCCCAGCCACTTGCTTGCCACTCTTTGTTGTGGTAAGACCTGGGGTGGGGTTTGCTGGGGAGGAAGCTGCGGGGGAGGCGCTTGTTGTTGAGTGATGGGCTGCAGGAGGTGCTGGTAGTAGAGGTGCTGGGCCTGTGGGGAGGGCTGCTGAGGTGGTGGAGGAGGGGGTTGCTGCTGCTGCTGGGGCTGTTGTTGCTGTGGGGGAGGCGGCTGTGGATTAGGCTGAGGCTGTTGTTTCTGTACTGGCTGTGAAGGTTGAGGCTGAGGCTGGGGCTGAGGCAGGGTCTGAGCTGGAGGCTGCAGGGCACTGTGAGAGATTGATGAGGTGGCTTGTGAAGGACCACTTGGGGGCTTCAGCTCAGCAGGATTAGCAGAAGCCACAGAGTTCCTCCTCTTGACCAGGGGTGAGGCTTGCTGGGATTTGCCCATGTTGAATCCTGAGAGAAAGTCAATGACATCCTGCATCTCTTGGTCTGTGGGCAAGTTCATCCCCTGGTCTTCAGAAACTGAACCGTTGGCCAGCTGGTTTTGTTGAGTGGAGTCAGAGGTACAAGGCAGGCTGCCCATCTGCAGGATGCTCTGTAGCCTCCCATCACTGTGGCCCAGGCCTTTTGCCTTGTCCTCAGAGTTACTGGTTGTTAGCATGCTGCGAGATGGAGTACTAGGGATGGAAAAACTGCCTCCGCTATTTGAGCTGGATGAGACTTTCTTTGTGAACTTGGAAGTCAGCTTTGATATAGTTTTGGGCAGTCCACTAGAGGTCTTGGAGCTGGTACCTGGAGGCAAGTCTGTGGGGATGCCATAGTCTGGGCTCTCTCTCTGTAGCTGTATCTGAATAGTGGGCAAGGCTTGCTCTCTTTTGTGGACAGGAGAAAAGAAATGTGTGTTAGCTAGTCAAAACATGGAATGAAATAGTTAATCATTACTAACATCTACTCACTTTCTCTCCTTCCACCTGTTGATGTCAAACACCGCTGTGTAAAGCACGTCTACGAGACCAAGTGTCTTCTCTGGGTCCAAGCTTCGCTGGAGTAAGGACATAGTAGCTGGGTCCTCCTTCAAACACCTGAACCCAAAGACACAAACATTCACAACAGGACAGGACATGATCTGTGAGTCCAACAATATGTCTTACACATAAAGGCTCAGGTGAGATGAATATCTGGCATGTGATATTTATAAACAAGAAAAGATCCCACACTTCCTTTTATTAAAATAAAAAACTCAAACTCATCACAAAACTATGTCGTGTGACATGACACAGAGGTTTTAAGAAGAAATACTTCCCCTATTCCCTAAAATAATACTTGCTTTGACTAGTTCGACTTGATTTACAACACACATAATATCAGCACTGCATTAGAGTACATAACTTTAAAAAAAAAAGTCAGTTAAATAAAAGCCTCTGAGAAACGCCTTCCTCCAGCACCATTATAAAAGTGCTCTGAATCAAAAACCAGTTTGACTTTTCTAACACCACAAATACCAATGATATGGCTCAGTTTTTAAGTACAGAGCATTTACACAAAAATCTCTTATATACTACCTAAGTATGAAGGCACTAACCAGCATTTCACTGTTTATTAAATTTTTAAATTTTATATCAAACACATTCTCAATTCCTCTTGAGCCTTAAGCTTTAAAGTCTGTATAAAACCGTCCAAATCAACAGCATGTGTTGATTTGTTCCATAATACCAACTTCAATTTACTTGCCTTCAATTTTCAACTGTCTCCAACACTCTGTTACTTATCTGTTTACTAAGGGACTGTAAATTCTGCTGTCTGCTCACAAACCCACAATGAAAAGGTTCAGATTGATTTATTACCCAAAGCTCAGTCAGCACATGTGTAGGTGTGCTTGAAAATTTACAGCTGATGCTATAAATTAATAAAGTTGAAGTTCTGCAGAGTAAGAGCAGTTTTTCTTTGTTTGTTTTTTTGTCATGTATTTAAACATCAGCATTGGCCACAGAATTTGTAAAAGATGAATAAAGCTTCAGGCTCTGAAAAGTGAAGCCAACACATTAATACTTTAAACCTGTATTCTTGTTAATAGCCAGCAGGGGGCAACTCCTCCGGCTGCAAAAAGACTTTCTGTTGTAAAGAAGTTTATAAAAAAAACAAATAAAAAACAAAAAACAAACTTTCAGCTCTCTTGGTCTGTGATCTCAGTAAACACTTTTCTGATGACTGCAGACTATGCTCATGTCTGTCCCCCGTTTCACAATAAGATCCAGCCCGTCTTTCATCCTGTCTGGTTCCAGGCATCATAACTTGTCTTCAAAGACTAGTGGTTGGCCTCATCAATCCTTTTTTTTTTTAAATTTTTTTTAATTTTTTTTATTTTTTTTTTAAATAAAATCAGTCTATGGCTGATATTTGCCATCATAAAACCAACTGCCAAACCTTGTTAAGATCCAACAATGCAAAATATGATTTTCTGCCATTTTTCAAGTGGTCTTAAACTTTTGATTGCGACTGTAGTAAACAGCCCAGGTACCTGTTTTAATTATGATTTCCTGGCAAAAAGGCTGAATAACACGTATACAAACAAAAACAATGAAAAAATGTATACATATTACCTATATGCCACATTAAAAAAAAAAAAAACAACTCATAAAAACAACTTGTGTGTTGCATTTCTCATGTTGTACTCACCATGTAGAAGGAACCTGGACCACCACCTTGGATCCCTCCAGAGTGATCTGGGGAGCATAGGCCTCCTTGTTCTCAATCTGCGCAGTATCGACAACCACCTGACAGGACACAGAAATACCCTTCTGTTAGCCATCTTAACCTTTCCTGCCATTTCTTTCCATTATTGTGATTTATCTTCTGAAAAAAGGTTGTGCTGAAGTGCTGCTAAGTTTTTTTGCTATTTTTTTTTCCACAAACTTTTTTCTTTTCAAACTGTTGCACCATTTCCCACTGTATATCTGTAACTCTCTTAACTTCGGTACAGGACTATCATTAAAATCGAGGTTAAAAACTGACCCAACGTACACTCGCATCTTCCACCCAGCTGCAGTGCAGTGGTCCAATGCACTAGGTTACAAAAACTGAAATGCAAGACCGTCCAAAGTGCTACAAATACCGTGGTGGACGCCAGGTAATGTGACGTCAAACTTGGTGAGTATAAAGACACCAACTCTACAAATCCTACAGAATACGGACAGATACAATTACAATTTTACCCAGCTGATTAAAACCCTCCTTTACCACCATCTAACAATATCAGAAATTTTCATTCACAGTTTGTCCCCCCAGAAATATCAGTGAAGACAAATTCTCAGCAAATATTATCTTTGTGCTGATATATTCATATCTGCATTTATAATGGCTTCTAAATTAAATTTAAGGTTAAAATGAAGTTAAAGTAAAGAAGATCTTAGAGAAACACCCTTCAGTCAGTGTCAGTGTTGCATAGTTTGTCCACCAGAGGTCACTGCATAACTTCACTGTTGGCACCATTTGAAAAACCAGGCTTAAATGTTTTGATCAACTTCTTCATGCTCCTAAGCGAGCAAATAACTTCATAAGCAACTTCCCTATTAGTGCCATGTTTGGAATGCCACAAACACAACAATCAGCTGATCTGGGCAGAATTGGGAGGAAAAAAGTAATCCGCAAGTTCCTGTAACAAGATTGTTTTTGGCGTAAAAAGATTTCTCAAGTGCACAGTCATATCATCTTAGCAAGGACTCAGAAATAACTACACATGACAAATGTTTAGTAAATCTATGTATAGTTCAAATGTCTGAGAAAAATAAATATAGTGGCTGATATATTGGAATATAGAACTTTTAAAATCACCAGATATCATCTGAATTGGTCTTGAAAATCCTGTACTGGTCAGGGTCTACATGTCACCAGCTGCTAGAATCTCCTCCTTTCATAGCCCTCCTTTCATGCTCGACCCTTAACTGGTGAAACAAGTTTGCCGTTTCCTCCTTTAGTCAGAACAGTTTTCTTGCCTATTTTGCACTTCTTGCATATTCTTGCTTTTTATTGTGCTTATTTGGAGGTTTGAAGTATTTGAAGTAGCTCCCTTTTTACCAAACCATCCTTGGAAGCTTGCATAGAGATTCTGGGGACACGTGACCGCTTAAGACGTGACATTAACTTGTTGGCCATTTCTGTACGTGCAAGTGAAAAACCTACTAAACATTATGTAGAGGAGACAAACTCTGGCAACTATGAGTAAACAAACAAGTGTATATACTCTGTCAGATGAAGTAAAACACTTTCATGACAACCCAAAAAGTTGATTCTGTTCATCTGGACGTAGCATTTTTAGTGGGAGAAATGTTTCATCACACATCCAAGTGACGTCTTCAGTCTCCGCTGAATGCAGGTTTCTTTGACCTTATAAACAGTACATTTGCGTAATGACTGAAACTAGCACCACTGACGAACAACGGGCTGCGAGGTCATTTTCTTGATCATGAATATGCATTTGTCATGACCATTGTCAAAACCCTTAGTTATCCCTTATGTGTCAAGATTATCGGACAGCTGGGATGCATTTTCTCCAAACACCGCATCTCTGTGGGTTTCAAACCCTAAAAAGGCCCAACTTGAGGTACATGGGCAAGATAATAAACTCAAATTGTATTCTTGTATCTTTGCAAAACCCAGGTTTCTCTACGATGCATTCAGCAGCGTGTGAATCTTAGATAGAAAGCACTTAAGCATAGAAAACAAGCACTTGAATGAGCTATAAAGCACACCGAGTGCTCAGGTAGAGTAGAAAGCGTTATATAAGAACCAGTCGATTCACCGTTTACATGTGGCACTTGCTGTCAGACATGCCTGGGCTTGTCGTGTTCTGCCCACTCGGGAAATAAACACATAATGCTGCTACATGACACTTTTATATCAAGTAAAAATGTATACCTGTTCTGTCAGAGATAATATAAATGTGTCACAGTTTAGAAATCATAACTCTATACTTTAAGTTTTCTTGCTTCACATATACAGCAACACACACTGACACAGTCTTAAAAAGCAACCAGACATGACTTATGCTCAAAGAAAATGTCAGTCTAATTTAAGACTTTTTTCCAGGCACGGTATGTTGTGGAAAAATAGAAGTCAAACACCTCTCATTAATTTCCTACTTAGCAGCAAGAGTTCAAGGTGAGAAAGGTGAATGACTTTAATCAGCAAGTCACAACACACAGGTAAGCTTTCCTGTCTGCTGGGAGTCAAATATATTTGCAAGTTCTTTGAAAGTGGCCTTGGCTCCTTGAGACCTGAGTAGTTGGGTCATAAAGAGGGAGTGAAGGTGGGAGGAGTCTATTTCCTGTATTGCAGGAAATTACCCTATTGTTATTAAAAAGGCAGGTGCATCCTTAAAAAAAAGGGGGGGGGGGGGCAAACTATGTGAGAACCACACACAGATGCAGTCAGTCGGTCAGATATGTTGAAACACAGACACACACAGAGAAGTAATGCAGCAGAACAGACAAGGTCGTGTTGTTTTAGTGCACTCTGACAGCCATAAAAAAAGTGAGCAACATTGCCAGGAACACAACAGAAACGGTGCTTCTCACTGTAACTGTCACATGAGTGTAAAGAAAACAGGGAGGAGAAACATTTCTGTGGGAGTCATGTTTGGTGCATTGCATGACAATGAGCATGTGAGTAAATGTGTGGAGAAGATACAATGTGTGCGAGGGTGGGTGTCCATGCTTACTTGCCGCAAGATCTATTTTGGGTTTGGTGGTAATAGGCTCAGATAAGGAGCTAATGCAAAGCGCTCGTTCATCATATAGGGATTGTTTTACAGTTAGCATGGGGCTGGACGGGAACAAGCTCTCAGTTTTGACACACAAAGCAGGGCAGACCACACAGAGGAAATAAACACTGAAGCATAAACACACTGGTGTTACTCTGAGGAAAGACTTGCTCTGCCCACAACTCTCCTTTTCAACAGAAGGGTGGGGGAGTTTTGTTTGAATTTCGTCAGACCCGTCCAGACGAGCCTATCCTTCAGCCAGATGCTGAAGGAATGCTTCTTCCCTTTTGTCTGTCACTGGTGTTCGTTTACACCTCCTGGCTGCCTCAAAGCAAGCACACAGATCTGCTCATCTTCAGTACAAGTACATCGTACAAACAATGGGATGTAAGTAGCCAAACCACCAGATACTCAGATGGAGGATTCAGTGGCATGAACCGTCAGTGAAGAGGCCTGTTCACACAGGTATTCCACCTTCTATCCACTGTTCTGAGGTACCAACTACACAGTGGATGTTAACAAGACCAGTCATCATTTGGCATAGACACATAAAATAACTTAAATAAATTACATTTCTGGTGACTTTCTTAAGCATTTAGGAAAACTGAGAAAAATCTAAAGGAATATTTATAATAATAAAAGTCACTTTATTTTTTTCCCATTGATTTTGAAATTCTCACAAACACTACTGAATGGTGCTCTGACCTAACATAACATCTATACTCACCAGACCAGCCTGGGCAAACAGTAGCTGGACAGCTGTCTTGCAAGCTCCTCTCCAACTGGATGGGCAGACCTGGTTTAGGACCTCAGTGACAGGAGAGTCATCTCTGGGTGTCACTCCGTTCTGCCCAAGGGCCTCCTTAATGAGCTGCAGCATCGTGTGCTAAAGAAACAAAACATGGAGGTCCATTACCAAAGCAGCCTATCACAAATATTTGCTGATGTTACAATATAGACACCTGTATTAAAAAAAACCCCCAAAAAACAACAACAACAACTTGAGACTTCAGGAGCCTGCATATCTGCTAAGGTTATCACTCAAAACACTGAAAAATGTTTTGATGATGAAACAAGAAAACCAACAGAATGTCGACGAGATGAGGATCATACCGTTTTCAATTTGAGGTTTTCAGCTGCTGACTCATTGAAGGACACTCCTTTGAGAAAATGTGAGCCAATTTGCACGGGGATGGTGGGCAGCTCGCACTGAATGGGCTGCGAGGTGGTCTGCATCCTGCCCGCCTGCTGAGCCTCAGCCTCACTGCAACAACCCTATACGACACACGCATGGATATAAACACACAACAGCTAAAACACTCATTGCAGCAAAAAACAAAATAAAAAAAAAAAATAGTAGCGACACAATACAGAGATATGTTCGTAATATTCTTTAATCAACTCCTGTGTCAACACTAAAATGATACAAGTACCATAAAAACAAACTTTATGCTACTGGGAAATTAACAGGCATTAAATCATTGCAAGTATTAGGAACAGTGGACAGCCACCAACTCCAGTCCACAGTGACGGGAGAATTAAGCAAACACGCTACAATAGCAGAAGGGAAGGGAACACACACACAAGCATGGGGAGAGCATGCTACCTTGACATGGAAAGGTTACAATTTGTGATAGTGAACACACCTGTAAGGCTGCCTCCACAGCTTTGGGGTTGAGATGAAAGCCTGCCTTCAGAGCATACTCACTATGACCGAGGCTCTCTAATGCTGCTTTATAAGCCTGGACAGGGAAGAAGAAATGATCAGTTACTTTAATATGTTACAGTTTTTATTTCTCCTCTCTTGGCACTGTGGTTTTTTAAGTAATTATATTATAGTTTTATAATATAAGACTTCATCTAGTTCCATTGTATTATTCCATTAAAATGAAAAGAAAACCTCAAAGACCAAAGTCCATTTGATTTTTAAAACATACCTCAGTATATGTCTAACTCTGGAATAACAGCAACTCATTTCCTAGCCTGATCTATACACTCATACTGTACCTGTAAAGCACTGTCAATCTTCATGTTGAGCTCCTTCAGCTGGTGCTCAGGGATGGTTGTGTTGTTGGAGCAAAAGAGTTGCTGAACCTGGATGCCTGCCAGGCAGCCGTCCCGGCCCCTCTCTCTCAGCCTCGCTGTGGCCTGAGGGTACAGCAGCATACAAAAGAGCTCTGGGTCAATTTACAGCAGGAACATCAATGAAATGTGCACTGCAACAAAATCTCACCACAAACAAGAAGTACTTGAGAATAAATGTATAATGCTAATATAATACTGATCGTTTTCTTTCAATGCTGCAAAAACCCTATCTTGTGTAGCTTCTGAAATATGAGCCCTCTGGTGTCTCCATCTATCCAGGCTGATTCCCTCCAGGGCTAACACTCTGCATGCCCGAGTTCAACAAATCAATCAACCCACTATTCTCCTCTCTGCTTCACTGTATACAACAAATCTTGAAAAGGTCCTTGGAGACTGATAAGCCTGGAGATCAGTTGGGTCCTCTTACAAAACAGCTTCTTCTACATAGAGATAGGCTTTAAAGAACATAGCAATGCAAGTTTACAGACAAGCTACAGCCTAGAAAAGAGGAAATGGGAAATTTGGACTGGAAATCATAAATTGTTGGCATTTTTCAGGAATGTGTAGCAAGCTGTTTTTTTCACCTCACACAAACAAACCACACATTTCCAAAGCTTAGATCTGGAAAAGTCCTGGGGCTGTGGCTGCATACCTCAGCTGCACCTTTCCATGAGCGGGAAGCTTCTTCCAGCTCTGTAAGGGGCCCAAGGTCAGAGCTTTGGGAGCGGGCATTGGCACAGCGCTCTTGGGCCTGGGCAAGAGCCTCAGCCAGGCAAGACTGAGCCACGGGCTGGACCTTCTGAAGAGCCTGTGATAGAAACTGGAAATGGACCTGCATCACCGTGAGGAAGCACCGACCTAGTACCTGGAAAAAAAACACAGAGATTACAGTTACAACATACCTTAACTCTAAGAGGACTCATTATTTGAATGTAGATCAGTCAAGATGTTTGAGAAACCAAACAATATGGATGCCCTCAGCATAGAGGTGGAATCCTGTATGTCCACATGCCTCTGGGCTTCGTTATTGTTGATTAAAACAAAACTGCTTGCTGCTTTGTTTGCGCCTTTCTAATGAAGCATTCGTCAAGTAATGACTGGTTGCTTTACCAACAAGTTATTTCTCCATCTAAATTTTTTTTTTTTTTTTTGCATTTGCCTGCCCGTTCAACCATAACGTTCCAGGAATTAAGAAGTGTGTCAACTATTTTCTATACACAAAACATCATCATGCTTGACAGGTAAACCTCAAAAGCTGTGATATATGCTTGTTTCGGTAAATTTGGTGCAGGATGTTGCGCAGGCATGATGTGTTTTGGCTCGAGTTGCAGCATATTAAGATAAATGCTTTGAAAAACATGCCAGCGACAACCATTAAACTGTTTATACACACATACAGCAAATGAATACCAGGCAGATTAAAGTCTGCCCTATTAATCTCAAACTTATCCAACAAATAAACTCAAGTTCTCTTTCAGAAACACTTTGCTACCTTATTTCCCATTTGTTTTTTTACACAAACTTAAAAATCGTAATGAGAAAGATGGCAAGATCAAATCTCTATAACCAATACATCAACTTCTAAAATACAACATTTTATCAGATTTTAGCAAACCTAAACTTTACGATATAGTAAACTTTAGAGATAGATAAATAGATAAGAACATTATAGCAAGGAGAGAAAAATCCACTATTCCACACATGTGGGAAAAGCATGTGCAAAGTTGACAATAATAACTGACATCATTCCACTACAAAGTGTGTCCAAGCAAGTGCTTGCTGAGTTCTGACAAGCTGTTTGTTGTTCAGTTTGCAAAATAAGAGAAATAGGACACTGTGGGTTCGCTACGGTCAAAGGGTTTTCTTTTTCAGATACCTGCTGAAAATATCTCAAGGGATAGAGCTGAGTTCTGAAGTAAGAAATATGCAGTTGCTTTATGATGGCAGACAGGAACAACAACAACGAAGCCACCTTCATTCTTTAACACAATTCACAGACACCAAAACTAAGATGCACAAATGACTGGAGGCATAAAACCGCCATGACTTTGGAGTTTCATTGGTTTTGTAACAACTACAAAATAGGACACGTTGCCAAATAATTTATCATCTTTGACATGCTCATGAGTTTGGAATTTGCTGCCTCATTCAGTGTTTTGCTTTACCATCTAGTGAATTATAGTGGTTGATGGGCCATTATATCTTGTGATCCTGACAAAAAAAAAAATGCATAAACTAGCTTAGTCTTAAGACACTTGAGCAGATTCCATTTAAATATCAAATGACTCAAGAGTGAAACTTTAGAGTAACTAAATATAAAATTCAAATGAAATTGATTTTGTTTAAGTTTACGATAATTACAGCGGGAACTCAAATGTAGTTCTCGCTGTTATGTGTGGGGACACATTTCATTAACAAGCTTCCAGTCTATTTTTCCATTTTTTCATATGAGGTATTTTTGAAGGCACACTCAATCCTCCATACGAAAGCAGTGCTGGAAAAATTCAAAGACTATGCACTGTGGTATTCCAAGCAGGGCTCATGTTTAACATGCTGGACCTCACAGAAACTGAACAATTGAGCTCTTCTGACCAGAAATATCCTCTGAATATTCAGGCTTCTTTTCATGTTCTTTTGCAAAGTTTAATTGTGGTTTGTGCAAAAGAGAAAACCTACGAAGAGGCTGTTAAGCAGTGTCTTTTGCAGAGTCTGAGCTGGCACAAACTCTGATTTCCACCGATGAACTGTTTGCTGAGGCGAAAACACACTGAAACATGTGCTTTTATATTTAGACTGAAGAATCATCACACCTTACACCATGAGGCTCTGATTAGTACCAGTTTGAATTTTTCTATACCTCCCAATTACTGATGCAACTCAGTTTCAACTTATTTTAATTGGTCTACATCTTCCTGGCTCATTTTCTATATTAAAAATAAAAATCTGATTGCAAGACTTTTCAGTTCTTCGGGCACTGACTGTATTCTGGGAATCTCATTTAAAATTATAGATGTCAACATGTTTTCTGAGTCAGTGTGCGCACTGGATAAATAAAGTTCTACCACAGCAAGCCTGAGGTAGAACTATAAAATGAGTATACTTATAACAAGCATAACAAGTTAGAGAACCTACCTTTCCCAACAATTTTTTAACTACATTTTTTTTAATTACAGTTCAGAGAAAGTAATGCAACTCACTGAACATTCTGAGCCAGGAAAACCCCTGTAAGTATGAAAGAAACATTTTATTATATAGTGTGCAACAAGCAATATGAAAGCTCACCAAAAGAAAAAGAAAAGAAAAAGAAAAGAAAACTACTAAACAAGAACTTTCTCTGTGACTCAGAGTCAGTATCCTGTCTGAAAGTTGATCATGTCAGTATATCATGTGGTTTGTTTAATCTGTTCCTCGTAATGCAACTAAAATAACAACAAGCTGGTCCTGGACTGAAAAGAAACAAGAAAAGTTCAGAGGAAAACTTGTGGCTCTGAGATATTATATGGCACAGCTCTGCTCTAGACTAAAAAACTAATGTCAGTATGCTAAGATGCTTATATTTACAATGACAATGCATCATCACAGTCTTTGCTTAGTTCTAAATGCTGCCACACTAAAGTAAGTTCTCAATTTTGCAAATACACATTTACATATATACATTCTGAACAACCCTCATCACAAAGATATTCATGGTTCCCCATTGATGTATCAGGGAGATGGTGTTGTTATATTTCAATCTGCTGGTGGTGCAAAGTGAGAAGTCAGAGGAAAAAATAGAATGAGTTAAATTAGACTAAATTAGAATGTCTGGGGGACTTAAATATTTATAGAAAATTCCAAAGCAATCTACTGACAATCTGCTGGATATTTAACTGGGAAACCTTTATGGTAGTACTGGGAAAAATCATTACTGGGTCACTGAAATGAGCAACATTTATCCTTTGAGGCCAATAAAAACTGTACAAAAGTCGACAGTGAACTCCAACTTACCAGCAAAAGGTAGAGAGCCCAACACTTCTGTCGCTACAGTCCTCAAAAAGAAATCCATAACTGCAAGTTCATGCCAAAACTCTTAGATCCACTAAACTATGTAGGATAATATGATGCCTATCCCCCTGCCACCTTCAGTCGGAGATCTGATAAATACGGGCTCATTTCCAGGGTACACTACATGAGAAACACCTGTTGTTGCTGTTGAAGCAACTAATCAGAGGTCAATTATTCAATGGAGATATAGTATGTTTGCCAAACAGAAAAATAACATAACAAACACACGCAGCCTGATAATGAGGGCTGAGGTAGATATCACCAGCATATCTTAATGAAGATAGCAAAATGAGTACATGCTGACAACAAAATCAAAAACTACTCTGCTACAAAGGCTGCTATAATCAAGCAAAGAAAAAAAAAATGAGGACATGGCTAAAGCACAAGATAATGGATAACACATGTGATTGGCTGTGCAGTATCCCACACAGTCATGGAAAATATGAGAAATAGTGAGTGCAGCAGAGCCAAGCTGATGCTGGCCTCCCTCAGAACCAAACAAGGCGAATCATGAATCAATCATCAACATTTATACTTCTATTTTCTGAGAACACCTGCACAATCACCACACCAGATCTGGGAGAGTAGAGTTCCTGAAGTCCAGACCTTTTCTGGGTAAAAGGAGAGTGAAGCTATTATAACAACCAGATGCTTACATAGTGGGGTTGCACTGCTGTCTGATCTACAAAAGAAAACAAGCAGCCTACCTCTGTTCATTAATGTCACTGGTCATGCTTTATTTCTTTTTTGCTTTCTCCCTTGCTTTTCACTTCTTTTTTTTCCTGTATCTTCTCCCTTACACAATCATTCCTAAGAAACAGGAAGGTCACAATTATCCTGACCCCTACATTTCTCAGAAGTGGCCTATTAGATATTCTAGTATTTCAAAAACTTAAAACAGCTGTTCTGCGGGACTCTAAAGTCATGTGGATGGAACTTCATCAGCTAAATAAGCAGAACAAAATAATCCAATATAATCTCATAGTTTGGTTAAAATGGGGTTTACCTTTAAATGGCACAACAATCAGGCTAAGAGAGATATATAAAGTATCGTGCCGAGCACATATAGAGACATTTTATTTTTTCTTGAGGTCTAATGCTGGGTTCAGAGTAAATATTAGCAGATCTGACGCAATCAGGATGATGTCAGCTGTGAAAATGAAGAGATAAAAATGGCCATTATGATCTGACAGAAAAAAATACTTCATTTCCAATGCTTTCTCTTAAATTGTCAGATTTGAGCAGAACGGTCTCCGTTGTGTAAAACGAAACTGATATTGCAGATTAAGCTTGGTCTAACTGTTACATAGAGTGCCAGCCTCTATCATACACACTTCTTTGGTTGTTATTGTTTGTTTACACTCTTTTACTTACTAAATTACTATCGCGCCTTTTCTGAAAAAACAGGCATGTTGTCAAAAACGGCAAGTATAATTGATTAAAACATGAACGTTGCCATTTCTCTCAATTGTGAAAAAGCCAAGATTTAATAACTTTATTAACTGCCCAATCTGACATACTGACCGTAATAACAATGGATTTTAACTTGGGTGGACTGCCCAAGAATATTTGATAAACATTCAGAAATGTTAAACTGACTTATCTTTTAAATTCATCTAAGAAAGACACCACCCACAACTGATGCCACTTTTATTTTGAAAAGTTTGAAGTGCTACCAAGCTGGCCATCTTGGTGTTGTATTAAACTGCAGGCGGTGACAGTGGATCTTGCTCTGCTTTGGAGACCTGCTATGACCTAGAGGCCACTCTAACCAGAACCTGCAGCAGAGGTAGCAGATTGCAATGCTCCATCATTTATTTATTACAATCTAATATTTGTAGAGATCTTATAAATCATATAGTTTGCTTTTTTTTTAAGTTAGCTCTTTGATGTTTTAAATCCTGTATTGTTTACATCTGTGTATGCCAGCTTATACTTTTCGTCACACCTTATCAGGGACATCAGATTGTCAGTCTGCTTGCTCTCATACATTATTTTAAACCTTTAATCTGTTTTGGTTTGAACTGGAAACAGAAGGACGTCCAGAAATGTTGTTACACCAACATGTGAGCAGCAGGATATGCCATATTTCGTTACAAACTAACTGTTGCGCATCTGTTTAGGCTGACTGTAGACATTTTTTTTAAATTAAAATCCCGCTCATGAAAGACTGTATGGTGCATGTTGTCCACGTCCCTAGTTTTAACCGTGTTGAAAGGTTCATCCTCAGCGTGTTTTTAACAGTTGAAGACCAAGGTGGTGTTTTTCCAGTGTTTCCATTGTGCACAGAGTTGAGAGTGCTTATTCAGTCGTCTGACTTAAACAGCCATGAAGGTCTTTCTGATTGCGAGGACTTCACCATCTGCCTCTGGTCTCTGCTCTGCGGTTTAAACTTACAAGCTCAGCAAACAGCCTCCAAACAAACCGTGACAATTTCATGCATATTTGGCAGCAGACTCACTTTGACTGCTCAGAAAGCTCTGCTGTGGTTTGGAAAAAGAAAGTTTGTTTTGTAGACCTGGTCTACAAAACAAACCAGGGGGTGAAAAAAGGCCTGGGGGCAAAAAAAAGAAAGAAATAGGAGAAGAAGATGTGAGCAAGGGAAAGAAGGGGGGGCTTCACATACCACAACTCTCCAAAACCAGAAATGCATTTGGTTCTTTTTGAAGACCTCATAATAACTCGAACTGCCAAAAAGCATTCCTCGAGTCATGCAGACAAAGGAAAATCCCCTCAACAGTCACAAACACAACACATTGTACGAGACAGACTGAATTAGCTGCAATTATCACGAGCTGGGTCTAAACAAGTCTAATCTGAGTATAGTGAATTCTTTTCTACCAAAGCACACCATGGCCGATAGTAGAGATATTTTGTTAAAAACAATGCAAAACCGAAACACAAACATGAGCCGCAGATGACTCATCACAAACCCATGCACGTATGCTGTACACTTTAATCTGATAACTCTGGACTTTTCTAAATACTGTCCTAAAATTAAAAAATATTTACTAAAAACTATACTGGACAGTCTTACTGGATTACTTACCTCAAATATTTTTGTTCAGATGGGACATTATACTTCATTTTACAACCATAACATTATTGTGGAGAGTGTTTTCTCTGAGATCAATGTATTTGACACACTGGGAAAAAAAGGCCATTGTAAAGTAAAATATTAGTACGTTTCTCTCAATGTTTTAACAAATGTACCTTTTATGCCTGAGGCTAGACAGCACATGTGAGTGCCAAGCTGTGCGGTCTAAACTTTCACAGACTTGGGCTTCCTCTAATATTCATCTGTGCATATCCAAGACCACAGAGAGTCAGATTTACCGACTGTGGTGCAAAAGTGTTTCCTGTTTTGGGCTCAGCCACATCCACTGAGGTTCTGCAGGCCCTCCAGTGTCTTGGCCGCTGCAATGTAGCAGCTCTCCTACTACATGATAAAGTATTATCATGTAGCATAGATTGAGTAATATCCCCATAATTTTTGCTTTATAGTGTTGTATTTAACTATACAAAGTCATTTGTGGCACACTGCAATGTATGGAAATTTAACTAGTCTTGGTCTAAGTTCTGCCAATATTTGTGTGTAGTCTATAAAAATATCTTTACACAAACCACAAAAACCCCGACTAGATGTTTAAACACTGCTACTCTTGCTATTCAGCAATAGAAATACTGATTACTGAGTTACACTAATCATTGATATTTAATTAATACACAACACCTAAGATGCTAAATTGTTACACAGCCACCATCAGGAAGCAGAAAGTAAGATGAATGACAGCCCCAGGAGCCGGTGCTAATCTGCAGTACTCTGATCTAGAAAATGAACAGTTGGATGAGGGCTGTCTCGAAACAAGCTGGTGAATAAGCATTGGCGCAATGTGTAACCACATTCGGATGTTAAGCTGCAAATAAAGAAGGCTGTTGGTGTTACCACTGCTAACATTATACACATACTGCAAATTAATCGGACAGCATGTGTGTGCAATGTTACGAATGATGCATGTAACGGAAATGCCACAAATTTCAGTTAAACGCATTCAAACTACAATGTTACTGACGAATGCGATCAGCTGTTTCAAATGGCTCTCGTATGGATCCAACATTTTTATGGGAAATCTTAAATTTATCCATTCAAGTTTTTGCTTTCTCTAACTTTTAGTCTACTACTAAGTATAAGTGTTTTCTCCCATGAAACAATTTTGTGTGTACTTGGGTCTGAATGTCCTTGCCACAATGATTTTTTACAGGTTGTTCCACGGGCTCACAAATGTGCATTCAATGCAGGTTAAAGAAGCAGGCACAGTAAACATTAGGAAATATGGGCTTTTTTCTGCTTGGGTGTGGTGCAGAGATTAAGATTCAGTTACTCGATGCTCACAGCACCCTTGAAGACACTATTATGACAACACAATTACAGCAAAATTGAAAACTGGAATTGCGACGATAAATACCTTATTTTCCATAATCAACCGATGATTATTATCCATTACAAACACAAGCACCTGTTTAGTCTTGCCATTTTTTTTAATCATTGTGTCCTGAAAGGTGTAATGCAAGTTATTTAACCTGTGTGCAAGAACCTGGCTTGAGTTGAGAGTTTCTCAAACAGAGCCTAGATTTCATACAAAAAGTTGAACAGGTTTTTATAAGAACTATAGGATTTGTATGCTGTTATTTTTTGGATTGACAGTTTAATTAGTCTCCAATAGACTTCATGTATTTCCTCTTTTGTAGAGTCCTCAACTCTCTTGAGCAGAAACACTGTTTTTATTCAAGATAAGACAGATGCAGATCAGGATGCTGTTTGATGAATCTTGCTATGACAAATCTGTCACACCACTGTGTGTGTGTATACATAGCACCGGACTGTTACAGCAAAAAAATAAAAGACAATGTGGGAGACATACAAAAAGAAGACAGCAAGATAATGACATTAGCAGTGAGCCTTTGGATAACAGTCTACAGACCCTTTACTAAACTTACATAAGGAACACCTCTGCTGCAGCCAGCATTAACCATTGTGCACTTCAACAAATTTAGTGCTGGTGAAAGATGTTGTGACAAAAACTGTTTTTCTTCTCACATCCGCAGTGTTTTTCACACCTCACCCTCAGATCTTGACACCAGCTTAACATTGAGAATTAGAATGTTATTTGAGCCAGGAAACTCTGATTCATGAAGCCAGCATTCTAACAGAGACCAGCTAAGCATCTTAGCACCCTCTCCAGAGTGCATGAATATGATAAAGTATGTCATGGCTAACTTTAGTACCCCAGCTTGTGAGCTTAGTTAACAAAATTTAAAATTTCTTTGTAGCAGTTTTTTACTGAAGTCAAAACAATCTGACGTTGTCTTTGTGAACCATGTGGACTTTAAAAGTTCACGTAGTAAGACTGCGTGTGATTTGGAGACTTACCTCAACATCCTGCAGGCTGAAGTCATTCTGGTCTTTAAAGTTGGCGGCTCCAGCGCTCAGCTCCATCAGCATCTTGGCGATCTCAGGCTTTATTGCTGCTGTCAGTCTGCTGGCGGCCTCCATGACGTGTTCCTGCACGTCCTTCAGTTGCATAGCTGCTTTGGAATAGTGAGAGTTCCTGAACACACTGCTGAAAAGGTCTGTTAGGAAGGCGCTGGCCCGGCAGAACACGTTGAGAGCATCCAAATATTTTGAGATGCCTTGCTGGATATCGGCAACAGCGGTAGAGGTGCCAGAAGGAGGTGGGTGGCAGCTGCCAGACATGCCTACCCCAGTGCCCATGGGTGAAGAGGCAGAGCAAGAGGAGGCCAGAGAGGCGCTCAGGGTCCGGCTTAGCTCAGGCATCTGGTACTGCTGGTGCTGTTGCACTTTCTGCTTGGACCCGCCGAGCAAAAAGCGACGCTTGTAGTCCATTTTACTTTCCTGCGCACTACAACAATACATAGGTGGTGCAACAGCACCGGAAGCTCCTGTTTGTAGTTTCTTTTTCCTCACAAAGTGTTCTTGTCCTTTTTAGAAAAAAAAACCCCACCAAATTCAACGGCCCTGAAACTGTTCAAGTTAGGTATAAAGACAGCTCAAGGATTCTACCTCACAGAGGTTCATCTCAGTATGCCTTGTAGAGAGGCAACTTAGAAGTGGGTGAGGCCGAAGGGTGATCAAAAACCGACAGGCTGAGTAAAATACTCACATGCAGCCCTGCTGCAAACTCATCATGCCTAGCTTAAAAAACAGCAAAGACACAGCTCCAGATACTCTGTTTTCAGCTTCAAACAAAATGATCATAATAGAGGAGGAAAGTATTACAGCCGAGTTTTAAAGTGCATTAACTTTCCTTCAGAATGGGGGGGAAAATCCTTCATACAGTATGCAGAGTATATACACTTATGTATTTACATATATAAACCTATACCAGCTTCAGCCAGTAAAAGTAGAAAATTCCTTTAAAAGCTGAAAGCAAAAATGAATCCGAGGAAAATGACACACTGGTCAACAGCACGGAAGGAAAATGGCAATTTAAAAAGAAAACAACACACAAGCAAGTAAATGCTGGAATCAGAGGATGTGGCTTCGTCTTTTCTTTTGCAGTGGCTGGCAGAGGAGCAGTGGGAGGCGAAGGGCAGACAGATCCAGTCCGTCTCAAATCCTCTTCACAAAGCAGGACACGGCAGGCAGTGAGCAAGCGGCCAGCTGATAGCTCTGTCTGCCTGTCAGAAGTCTCCAGCAGCTTCCCGGTTTCTCCCCGTCTGCTGGCTGAGGTAGATATTACTCACCGCGGAAACAAGTGTGCTTCCAAATCTCGCTGTTCTCTGCGGATGCAGATTAGAGCGACAAAAGCACAAATGTATCTGTAAGGCCTCTAGGTCATTTCCTAAGGGAGGAAAGGGCAGAGACACAGAAGAGTGTTAACATCATGTCAAAGAGGAAGGATGAGCTTAATTTCAACGGCTTTACTATGACAACCTAAAATAAACTGGCTGCTCTACAAAAATCAAAACATGGCTAATTTCAGCTGATTTCTAAAGTTTTAGGATTAGTACATAGAATGGCGGAGGTATAAACTGTCAAGTAATGTGCCTTCAAACAACAACTAATATTCTAGTATGAAACCTTTACTGGATAGTGACAAGGAAAGCAGTAAGAGAAAGTATGTATACTTTACAATACAATATGCAAGCCACAAAATATCAACTTGCTTTAGTTTTGTTCAGTTGCTGTGACATCCAATCAGTGATATCAAACCACAACCATAAAGTTGTACTACCCATTATGTGTTGTAAACCAGAAGTGACACTCAAAGGCTTTTATTTTCGAAAACGGATTGGGAAGGATGCGATCAGCCACAATTCCCTGAAATTGCTGCTAATATTGTATTACAGTTTGGTAAAGAGCTGTGCTTTAGTTGTACATTTCTAGACGATTACTAATACCATACCTCACTGAGCGTCTGTGCAAAGAATCTCTGGCAGTGTCTGGTTTAGCAGTACACAGCTGCAGACAGAAATTCCTGCATGAAGCCATTGTTGGAAGACACTGCGGGGTCTGTTGAGCTACACGTAGTAGGAGTCACAATACTCTCATTCTGTGTGACTTTTCCATCTCCCTTTGGCCTTTTCACTGAATTAGGAATATAATATTTTATATTGTTAACATTAAAGTGGATTTGGCCTCACTTCTCTTCTAGCTTGTGACTGTCAGAAGATTCGCAATTTAGAAGGTCTCAAGACAAACCACAGTTAATAAGATTCCTGACAATAAAACAATACTAAACATAATCTGGAATCATATAAGTTAAATAAATAAACATTTCATGTAAACTGATCCAAAAGAAACATGCCTTAAATCCGCAGGTGTAAAATAACCTTTTTCTCATCTTAGGTCGCAGTGTTTTAGGAAGGAACAAAGAATACATTCCCATTAAACCAGTCCCTTAGCTATGCACTTGCAGAGAGCTATGTGGCACTAAAGACTAAAACAGACACTCTTTATGACAATAAAGTCAATAGGACACTGAACATGATCCTGACCGACCATTTTCTTCATGAAACAGCTTTCCATATACCAGGCAGAAATCTGACTGTTATCTTGTAACATCACACTGAAAACAATTATGTTTTGGAATGAAACAGGAACCGCAGATAAAAAAAAATATTATTCCCAGCTAGGTAACACATCCAGGATGCTGTCACTGTAGGTTTAGCAGCTGTGTGGTAGTCCCACATACAGGGTAGCTTCCATTACGCATCTCCGCCAACATTCGCCTGACCTTCAAAACCTCACTTCCTTTCACAAACAGAGGGGACGCCCAGCAAAAATCAGCCCACCCTTATCTGTCCCGGGCCACTGAGTTGAGAGACAGAGCCAAGGGAAACTACTGACCTCCTCTTGAAGGGACAAGGGAAATGTGCTTTCAATTTTTTTAACCCTTACATTACAGTAGTTAGTCTTTCAGCTATTATTTTGAAAATTTGCTACAAGGACACCTTACTTAAAAACAACCACACAAATGTACATCGTAGTCAGTGAGGTTTCATCTCCAACACTTGTTCAGCAAGTATTGCATGTTTACAATTGACAAAGATTCAGTGAAATATGTTAACGCCAACCTTTTCCTAAACAAAACTGGGTGATTACCACAAGACAAACACTGCAGGGATAACTAGGATGACCAGTCAGGAGCTTGGCTGTACATTTAAAGTGGTCAGTGCTTATTCAAAGATCTAATACCCCACATCTGTATCAAGAACGTAATGCAATTAACTTTATTATACTATATATTCAATTAACCAATTATTTGTTCAAGCTCTAAAACAGACCAGAAATGTTTGGGTTGCAGGGTTATATAACAAAGAAAAGCAGGAAATCCTTTCATTTTAGAGGCCTGAATTAATGATTATTTGTCATTACTTCATAATTTCTTTCCTGAAAAATAACCAAATTTTCAGATCTAGTTGTGGTACAAAAATATCAATTATACTACCACCTACAAAGTTATGCAGATAAATTCAAGGCATTGTAGATACGCTCTCTTTCAGGAAAACAAACAAACAAAACTTTTCTCTAGGAAGTATTTGATGAAGGAATAGCAAATCTAATTTTATGTATGTGATTGTCTATAGTGGTTAAGAGCAGCTAACTAGGGCAACAGTGCAGCAGGGCTCTAAATCCCAGGGATTACTGGCACAGTGAGAATCTGCCAGGTGCCCACAATGCCTGCTAGTTGACATAAGTAATAGGATATAAGCTTCTACAAAGTAAATGTGAAACCTAAGCTCGGCTAACCCAGAGCTGGCTACTTTTGTTCCACACATTCACACTATTTTTGGCTAAATGATGGGTGGAAGATTAGTCTTCTTTCAAACAACTTGATGAATATACTAAACAGGTCGGTGAGGAAACCACAGCGAACAAAACTAGCTTGCTAGTAACACAGCATGACGTAAAGGACCAGGACACAGCTGGAAACAATTAAAACTAATTGTGGACAGCAGTTACACAGCTTTAGGAACGTGGTTTGGAAAAACAAAGGTTGGATATATTTAATCTTCATGAAATTATTCTTTTTTTTCCTCTTTAGATTTGCTGCCTCAAATAGAGGAAGTCAAGTATCTCAGGGTTCTTGTTTACAAATAGCAGAGAAGTAAAGTAAGAGGTTAACCCGTGGATTGGTCTAGCATTTACAGTGCTATAGATGCACCAGTTTGCTTTATTGAAGGACAATCTGAATGCAAAGCTATTCACTGAGTTGTCAATCTGCATTACTTCCCTCACAAACTGTGGGTTATGACTAAAAGAATGAGACTGCAGATTCAAACAGCAGAAATAAACTGTGTCTGTTCCCGCCTCCTGAATCTCCTTAGTGATAGGATGAGGACCTCAGTCATTCGGGAGGGCCTCCTGGAGGTCTCTGAGGTGAGGCATTGCAAACATGTCCAACCCAGGTCAAAATAAAGAAACAGTCTCTTGGCTAGCTTGAGAATGTCTCAGTTACCAACCAGAAAAGTTGGAGGCCAAGGCTGAGAGAAGTCTGGACATCGTTTCTTAAGCAGTGATTATACCCTATTGTGGATACGGACCCAGGTAGCTGGAGACAACATGGATGTATTTAAATGAATTAATTTCAGTTGCAGTTCTTTGAAATCCACCTGAAGGGAACACTTGTGGCTGCAGCGATGCTAGGTTGTTGTTGTTTTTTTAGCTGCAATTTCCTTTATTTGGACAAGCACATGGAGTGGTTATTTATCAGCCAACACTACTTGGCTTGATTAGCTATCTAGTAATTGGTGAGCTAAGTACAAGACACCTATTGGTTTCAGCTCCCTGTGTTAAGACACATGCCAATCAAAGCAACTGTTAAGTCAATAATCCAGGTGGAGTTGGAAGAGTTTAAAAAAAAAATTTAATAAGATAATAAGAAAAATCACCCTCATCTAAGTAGTTAAAAATTGGGAACCTATACAACCAATAGTAAAAAAATTCTTTGAATTTTAAAGCTGAGTCTATAGCCCCTTTTCCATTTGCCCCTACTCAAATCGTCGGGTTTTCAATTACAATCGAATACCACCTAATGTGTGTGGTCGTCATTATAGCAATACAGCTGAGTGTTCCGTGACATAATTAGCTACAACAAAGGTCGACGTCAAGGTGATGATAAACCTGCTACTCGATCTGTGGCTTTTCGTCAGACTTATTCTCGTGAAAGAGATGCTCTCATGACTCATCGAGTGACGCCACTAACCAGCCAATCAGTCCCACGGAGTCTGCCGTCACATTTCAGTACCTGCTCAGATCACTTTGGAATCATGGCCAAGCAGGTACTATTTTTGTACTATGTACCAGGTACAATAAAGTAATGGAAAACCCTGATAAATATGGCAAACTGTGGCAAGTCGATCCATGTCGGTACTAATGGAAAAGGGGGCTTATGTTGACTGACCCCCTTTTGGAGTCAGCCTAACGTCTATATGCCACTTCGCACTTCAGCTCTAGATGTTGCCCAGGACAGTGTCATAAGATATGCTTAATCTTAAGAGTTTCACTTCCTTTAACAAAAAAAAAAAGCAGTGATAGTGGAAAAAAATGAAGAAGAAAAAATGCTGATTCAAATAAAAAATTTTGTCAATTAACTTCATACTATTGAGATTACCCTACAATCACAATGGTATTAATCTGAGCCTAGTACAAAGAATGTGGTTCTATTATCTTTCACTTAAAAAAAAAAAAAAGTGAATAGCTTCGTCACACTATCTAGCACAGTTAAAATCATTTAGCCAGCTTAAAATTGGTGACACACTATATTTTTCAGCCAATGTCAGTAAATGTCATCTTATTTGGCAGGCCCATCATTCTATACCAGTGTTCAGTAGTTGTGTTTTTGTTTTGTTTTTTTCTTGTTTTTTTTTTTTTAGGGCTGTGAACAACAAAAGTAACCACACATTAAATGAGTGCTGTAAGTCAGACTCAATTCAGCCCAAACAACAAAGTGACATTATTAGAGAGTGTTCATGGTCTACATTTCCTTCCTGGCAACAAAACTCTGCAGGCAGAGGATATCCCAAGAGAAGCAGACACGGCATCAATATTAATGAGGTCTGTTGGCTTCTTAGGGTAGCTCTGTTGGCTGACAGCCTCCTGTTGCAGGGCACAGTGTGTTAGAGATTGCACCCAAACAAACACGTGTGATAAGAGCGTCCCTCCGGATGCACTGGAGTTCTGCCAGCCCACTTTAGTGTCCTTCCTCCAGCAGGAGCCGCTTAGGGCTAATGTTAGCCCTACTTCCCCACTCGCCGTACATGTCAGCTGCTCAACTTCAACAGGAAGGGGGTTTAGGTTTCCTGGAGCAAGCTCCCTGTCGCCAGTAACAAAAACTTC